TCACAAGATTAGGTGGTCACGAGATAAGGTTTTCACGAGATTAGGTGGTCACGAGATTAGGTTGTCACGAGATAAGGTTGACAAGAGATTAGGTTGCCACGATATTAGTTTGTCACGAGATTAGGTTGACACGAGATTAGGTAGACACGAGCTTAGGTTGTCACGCGATTAGGTTGACACGATATTAGGTCGGCACTGACACGAGATTAGGTTGTCACGAGATTAGTTTGTCACGAGATTAGGTTGACATGAGATAAGGTTGACACGAGATTAGGTGGTCACGAGATTAGGTTGTCACAAGATTAGGTTGCAACTGGATTAGGTTGACACAAGATTAGGTTGACACAAGATTAGGTTGACACGAGATTAGGTTGACTCAAGATTAGGTTGTCACAAGATTAGTTTGTTATAAGATTAGGTGGTCACGAGATTAGTTTGTCACATGATTAGGTGGTCACGAGATTAGTTTGTCACAAGATTAGGTGGTCACGAGATTAGTTTGTCACAAGATTAGTTTGTCACGAGATTAGGTTATCACGATGGAGGTGGTCGAGAGATTAGGTTGTCACAAGATAAGGTTGCCACGGGATTAGCTTGACACGAGATTAGTTTGTCACAAGATTAGGTAGTCACGAGATTAGGTTGTCATAAGATTAGGTGGTCATGAGGTTAGGTGGTCTCGAGCTTAGCTGTTCACGAGATTAGGTTGTCACGAGATTAGTTTTTGTCACAAGATTAGAAGGTCACGAGATTAGGTTGCCACGGGATTAGGTCGTCACGAGATTAGGTGGTCACGAGATTAGGTTGACAGAGATTAGGTTGACACGAGATTAGGTTGACACGAGATTAGGTTGTCACGCGATTAGGTTGACACGAGATTAGGTTGGCACTGACACGAGATTAGGTTGTCACGAGATTAGTTTGTCACGAGATTAGGTTGACATGAGATAAGGTTGACACGAGATTAGGTGGTCACGAGATTAGGTTGTCACAAGATTAGGTTGCAACTGGATTAGGTTGACACAAGATTAGGTTGACACAAGATTAGGTTGACACGAGATTGGGTTGACTCAAGATTAGGTTGTCACAAGATTAGTTTGTTACAAGATTAGGTGGTCACGAGATTAGTTTGTCACATGATTAGGTGGTCACGAGATTAGTTTTTCACAAGATTAGGTGGTCACGAGATTAGTTTGTCACAAGATTAGTTTGTCACGAGATTAGGTTATCATGATGGAGGTGGTCGAGAGATTAGGTTGACACAAGATTAGGTTGACACAAGATTAGGTTGACACGAGATTAGGTTGACTCAAGATTAGGTTGTCACAAGATTAGTTTGTTACAAGATTAGGTGGTCACGAGATTAGTTTGTCACAAGATTAGTTTGTCACGAGATTAGGTTATCACGAGGGAGGTGGTCGAGAGATTAGGTTTTCACAAGATAAGGTTGCCACGGGATTAGCTTGACACGAGATTAGTATGTCACAAGATTAGGTGGTCACGAGATGAGGTTGTCATAAGATTAGGTGGTCACGAGGCTAGGTGGTTTCGAGGTTAGGTTTTCACGAGATTAGGTTGTCACGAGATTAGGTTGCCACGGGATTAGGTTGTCACGAGATTAGTTTTTGTCACAAGATTAGAAAGTCACGAGATTAGGTTGCCACGGGATTAGGTCGTCACGAGATTAGGTGGTCACGAGATTAGGTTTTCACAAGATTAGGTTGCCACAGGATTAGGTTGACAACAGATTAGTTTGTCACAAGAATAGATTTTCCCGAGATTAGGTGGTCACGAGATTAGGTTGCCACAGGATTAGGTCGTCACGAGATTAGTTTGTCACAAGAATAGGTGGTCACGAGATTAGTTTGTCACAAGATTAGATGGTCACGAGGTTAGGTTTTCACGAGATAAGGTTGTCACAAGATTAGGTGGTCACGAGATTAGGTTTTCACGAGATTGGGTGGTCACGAGATAGGATTGTCACGAGATTAGTTTGTCACGAGATTAGGTTGACACGTTATTAGGTTGTCACGAGATTAGGTTGACACAAGATTAGGTTGTCACGAGATTTGGTTGACACAAGATTAGATGGTCACGAGATAAGTTTGTCACAAGATTAGGTGGTCACGAGATAAGGTTTTCACGAGATTTGGTGGTCACGAGATTAGGTTGTCACGAAAATAGGTTTTCACGAGTTAGATGTTCTAGAAATTAGGTTTTCACAAGATTAGGTTGCCACGGGATTAGGTTGACACGAGATTTGTTCGTCAAAAGATTAGGTTTTCACGAGATTAGGTAGTCACGAGATTAATTTATCAAAAGATTAGGTGGTCACGAGATTAGTTTGTCACAAGATTAGGTGGTCACGAGATAAGGTTTTCACGAGATTTGGTGGTCACGAGATTAGGTTGTCACGAAAATAGGTTTTCACGAGTTAGATGTTCTAGAAATTAGGTTGTCACAAGATTAGGTTGCCACAGGATTAGGTTGACACGAGATTTGTTCGTCAAAAGATTAGGTTTTCACGAGATTAGGTAGTCACGAGATTAATTTTCAAAAGATTAGGTGGTCACGAGAATAGTTTGTCACAAGATTAGGTGGTCACGAGTTTAAGTGGACTTGAGTTTAGGTTTTCACGAGATTAGGTTGTCACGAGATTAGGTTGCCACTGGATTAGGTTGCGACGAGATTAGTTTGTCACAAGATTAGATGGTCACGAGGTAAGGTTTACATGAGATTAGGTGGTCAGGAGGTTAGGTTGTCACGAGATAAGGTTGACACGAAATTAGATTGTCACGAGATTAGTTTGTCACGACATTAGGTTCACATGAGATAGGTTGACACGAGATTAGATTGTCGCGAGATTAGGTTGACACGAGATTAGGTTGACACTAGATTAGGTTGTCACGAGATAAGTTTGTCATGAGATTAGGTTGACACGAGATTAGGTTGACACGAGATTAGGTTGAATCAAGATTAGGTGGTCACGAGATTAGGTTGTCACAAGATAAGGTCGCCACGGGATTAGGTTGACACGAGATAAGTTTGTTACAAGATAAGGTTTTCACGAGATTTGGTGGTCACGAGATTAGGTTGCCACGGGATTAGGTCGTCACAAGATTAATTTGTCACCAGATTAGGTGGTCACGAGATTAGCTTGTAACAAGATTAGGTGGTCAAGAGATTAGTTTGTCACAAGATTAGGTTTACACGAGATTAGGTTGTCACGAGATTAGTTTGTCACGAGATTAGGTTGACACGAGATTAGGTTGACACGAGATTAGTTTGTCACGAGATTAGTTTAACACGAGATTAGGTTGACACGAGATTAGGTTGACACGAGATTAGGTTGACACGAGATTGGGTTGACATGAGATTAGGTTGATACGAGATTAGGTTGACACGAGATTAGGTTGTCACGAGATTAGGTTGACACGAGATTAGTTTGTCACGAGATTAGGTTGATACGAGATTAGATGGTCACGATATTAGTTTGTCACAAGATTAGGTGGTCACGAGATTAGTTTGTCACAAGATTAGGTGGTCACGAGATTAGTTCGTCACAAGATTAGTTTGTCACGAGATTAGGTTTTCACGAGATTAGGTGGTCACAAGATTAGTTTGTCACAAGATTAGGTGGCCATGAGATTACTTTGTCACAAGATTAGGTGGTAACGAGATTAGGTTTTCACGAGATAAGGTGGTCACGAGATTAGGTTTTCACGAGATTAAATTGTCACGAGATTAGGTTGACACAAGATTAGGTGGTCACGATATTAGGTTGTCACGATATTAGGTTGTCACGAGATAAGGTTGTCACGAGATAAAGCTGCCACGAGATTAGCTTGCCACGAGATAAGCTTGCCACGAGATAAGATTGCGTCGAGATTAGGTTGTCGCTTGATTAGGTTGCCGCAAGATAAGGTTGCCATGAGAGTAGGTTGCATTAGATCGGATTGCAAAAAGAAAAGGTTGCTAACAGATCAGGTTGGCACCATGGGTTTACCGCCTTGGATAACCAGCACCCGAGTGACGCCTTATGTTGTAACTACTCACCCCCCCCCTCACACTCATTTTTAAGTTTGATGGAATTGGCTGTGAGCGATTGTCGCTTATGAGCATATTTAATTAGGACATGAAGGTAGAGTTTATTGATTTGGTTCGAATAACAAGAACATAATCTCCTAGCAAATGTAAATTGATTTCATTGAGATCTGAAATAATTCGGGCTATCGTTCTGCCTGTTTTTGGTCAGCAATGAGATGAATTAGCCTTGTATACAACATTCATCAGTTCATCAGTGTCAAACGCTTCCTAAAAGGGGCTTACACACTCACACTGCTTACACACTCACACTGCTTACACACTCACACTGCTTACACACTGCGAAAGTGGTTTAGGGCTTAAAAACTGTGCAAATCTGGCCCAGCTAATACGCGATTATTCGTCACTGGAAACTTCTGGGAACAGAGTTTGAGAAAGGTGGCGTAACTATTCCTATAGAGCTCAATAAGACGTCACCATGCACCACGGCTGTCTGCTGTTTACGCCATTCCGCCATTCTGGAAGTGCTCCATGTCAAACGGAACTCATGATTCTTTCATTCACAGACAAAATTTATGAATCTATCATTCACGGAAAAAATTATGAATCTATTAATCAAAGACAAAACTCATGATTCTATCATCCATAGACAAAACTCATGAATGTATCATTCACAGAACATAATTCGTGAATTTATCATTCACAGAAAAAACTCATTAATCTATCATTCACGGTAAAAAAACTCATGAATTTATCAGTCACAGTCAAAACTCACGAATTATCCTTATCAGACAAAAACCAGGATACATGACAGGAAACGAATATCCTGAGATGTGAGTCAGTAGCTACGCTCAATATCTGGACAATACTTTAGCCCTGTAACTCATAGATTAGTCTTCCTTTACTTAAAGAGATATTTACCATCGTTAACAAATAAGACGTTTTCTATGCTTGATCAGGGAACATTTCAACGTTTCCCGGACCTCTTCATTAAACCAATGCAGTGTTTGTTTGATGTGTTTCTGTCTACGTGTTAGCTGCGGCATCACTGAATGTTCAGGTATGCACCAAACGGAATTTTCGATTTTGAAATCGTGTCAGTTAATTCAAAGAATAATAGGGATAGGTCTTTTATGTTAAAAAAAGTGAAACATACGTTAAAAAATATTTTTTTAAAAATCTTATAACTCAAAATTCACAATTCAAGTTCTTTTGTGAAAAAATACTTATTAATCAAATTGCAGTCCGGGTTGTTTTCCCCTTTGGTACGAAATTCCCTATCATTTACCCCTCATGCTGAGAACTATATAAATATCAAATATGATAATCAGATCTCGCAGCTTCTGTCTGCTACCATTTACTTGCTACCATTTACTTGCTACCATTTACTTGCTACCATTCACTTGCTTACCATTCACTTGCTACCATTCACTTGCTACCATTTACTTGCTACCATTCAATTGCTACCATTCACTTGCTACCATTCACTTGCTACCATTTACTTGCTACCATTTACTTGCTACCATTTACTTGCTACCATTTACTTGCTACCATTCACTTGCTACCATTCACTTGCTACCATTTACTTGCTACCATTCACTTGCTACCATTCACTTGCTACCATTTACTTGCTACCATTTACTTGCTACCATTTACTTGCTACCATTTACTTGCTACCGGTTACTTGCTACCATTCACTTGCTACCATTTACTTGCTACTATTCACTTGCTACCATTTAATTGCTACCATTCACTTGCTACCATTCACTTGCTACCATTCACTTGCTACCATTTACTTGCTACAATTTACTTGCTACCATTTACTTGCTACCATTTACTTGCTACCATTCACTTGCTACGATTTAATTGCTACCATTTACTTGCTACCATTTACTTGCTACCATTTACTTTCTACCATTCACTTGCTACCATTCACTTGCTACCATTTACTTGCTACCATTTACTTGCTATCGTTTACTTGCTACCATTTACTTGCTACCGGTTACTTGCTACCATTCACTTGCTACCATTCATTTGCTACCATTTACTTGCTACCATTTACTTGCTACCATTTACTTGCTACCATTTACTTGCTGCCATTTACTTGCTACCGGTTACTTGCTACCATTCACTTGCTACCATTCATTTGCTACCATTTACTTGCTACCATTTACTTGCTACCATTTACTTGCTACCATTTACTTGCTACCATTTACTTGCTACAATTTACTTGCTACCATTCACTTGCTACCATTTACTTGCTCCATTTACTTGCTACCATTTACTTGCAACCATTCTCTTGCTACCATTTACTTGCTACCATTCATTTGCTACCATTTACTTGCTACCATTTACTTGCTACCATTTACTTGCTACCACTTACTTGCTGCCATTCACTTGCTACCATTTACTTGCTACCATTTACTTGCTACCATTTACTTGCTACCATTCACTTGCTACCATTCACTTGCTACCATTCACTTGCTACCATTTACTTGCTACCGTTTACTTGCTACTATTTGCTTGCTACCATTTACTTGCTACCATTTACTTGCTACCATTTACTTGCTACCATTTACTTGCTACCATTTACTTGCTACCATTTACTTGCTACCATTTACTTGCTACCATTTACTTGCTACCATTCACTTGCTACCATTTACTTGCTACCATTTACTTGCTACCATTTACTTGCTACCATTTACTTGCTACCATTTACTTGCTACCATTTACTTGCTACCATTTACTTGCTACCATTTACTTGCTACCATTCACTTGCTACCATTCACTTGCTACCATTTACTTGCTACCATTCACTTGCTACAGTTCACTTGCTACCATTTACTTGCTACCATTTAATTGCTACCATTTACTTGTTTCCATTTACTTGCTACAATTTACTTGCTACCATTCACTTGCTACCATTTACTTGCTCCATTTACTTGCTACCATTTACTTGCAACCATTCTCTTGCTACCATTTACTTGCTACCATTTTCTTGCTACCATTCACTTGCTACCATTCACTTGCTACCATTCACTTGCTACCATTTACTTGCTACCGTTTACTTGCTACTATTTTCTTGCTACCATTCACTTGCTACCATTTACTTGCTACCATTTACTTGCTACCATTTACTTGCTACCACTTACTTGCTACCATTTACTTGCTACCATTTACTTGCTACCATTTACTTGCTACCATTTACTTGCTACCATTTACTTGCTACCATTTACTTGCTACCATTTACTTGCTACCATTTACTTGCTACCATTTACTTGCTACCATTTACTTGCTACCATTTACTTGCTACCATTTACTTGCTACCATTTACTTGCTACCATTTACTTGCTACCATTTACTTGCTACCATTTACTTGCTACCATTTACTTGCTACCATTTACTTGCTACCATTTACTTGCTACCACTTACTTGCTACCATTCACTTGCTACCATTTACTTGCTACCATTCACTTGCTACCATTTACTTGCTACCATTCACTTGATACCAGTTGCTTGCTACCATTCACTTGCTACCATTTACTTGCTACCATTTACTTGCTACTATTTGCTTGCAACCATTAACTTGCTACCATTTACTTGCTACCATTTACTTGCTACCAATTACTTGCTACCATTTACTCGCTACCATTTACTTGCTACCATTCACTTGCTACCATTCACTTGCTACCATTTACTTGCTACCATTCACTTGCTACCATTTACTTGTTACCATTTACTTCCTACCATTCACTTGCTACTATTTACTTGCTACCATTCACTTGCTACCATTTACTTGCTACCATTCACTTGCTACCATTTACTTGCTACCATTTACTTGCTACCATTTACTTGCTACCATTTACTGGCTACCATTTGCTTGCCACCATCTACTATAAGCTGTATTTTCGAATAATCGTTCTGCGGGCATTTCCTGATATTTAAAGAATCGTGTGCCATTGAAAACTTTTGTATCAACTTTGCTTTTATTCGTGTGTTTCTTTCTGGGTCTGTGGCAAAATCTTTCGGAAGGCTAATTGACCCACTTACCGTCAATCTATCGAGCTGAGCCTTGGCGCATAGACTCGTTGCCGATGACCGCACATTTGATAATTGGATTCAATGAGATTATTAAAAATATCTCAAGTGCATTTGGTGCGTGATATTTTCTTTTGTTTTTTTTCTGAAACTGTTGGCGCAAAAGTGCGTGGAACATTAGACTATTAATATTAGGTCAGGGGCGTAAAAAGCTTTATGGAGGGGGGCAATCGTTGGCATTCCTATCCTGTGCGTCACTTAGAAACATTACAAATTACATTATCTTAATTAATTCTTAACTCGTTGATTTATGTCATCGAAAGTAAACTTCTGCCAAAACAGAAAATATCACCCAAAATAAAAAATAAAAATCAAATGCAAAAGATATAATAATATCTGGCCTCATTACCCCACGTATTTTTATTTTTAGTGAATCTAATTAATGTGTAAAGTAGGAGTATATTCGACATTACATATTTATATTTTTGTGTTAAGCCTATGTTGTAACTTTTACAATCAGATCTATGTTTCTTTAGGATGTTGAGATTGACACGCTTGGAGAGCCGAGTTTTAATTTTCTGTTTTATGATACAAGTCGTCGGGTGTCAAGGAACGACAAGCACTACAGAGATAAGCAACGTGACAGATTTCATAAGAACAGCAGCCGTCATCAACCCTGCCACAGAAACAGCTCACCACTATTCGGCTGATAAAATAACAGCAGCGGTCACGACGACAGAAGCGTACAAGTCCACCCTTAAAGAAGATGACAATGTGCATGTAAAGCAGGCCGAATACAAACAAGAGACCAAAGTCAGTCCAATGAATGGAAAGAGAGATGTTGACGGACGAATAATTTCACAACAGTTTCCAAAAGCCTTTCAAGACACGAATGTTCGTGGTCACATTAATCCAACCAACGCACACCATCCTCAACAGATGAACTTCAACGCTGTACAGAAAGATACGAAATTAAACAATTACACTCCTCTGAACATAAACAATGAGGTCAATGTGTTCACTAATGAAAGCAATGATACGGGGTTAGTTAATATGCAATTTTCGGAAATACCCGCACCTATATTTCTAGGAAATGGCCCTGACGATTATGTTAATAGTTATCGATGCGGGCATTGTGCCTGTTCATTAAATTTGAAGGAACGACTGGCAGCTGACTGCACTGACAAAGGAACAGAGGAGATTCCGAGTGATCTTCCACGACTAATTTGGTCACTCAAGATGTCTGGAAATAATATCACAAACCTCAATTTTTCAAATCTACAGTACTATCCTTTGTTACACCATTTTAAGGTATCATGTGGCGCGCATTTGAACAGAGTCAAAACAATCTCGTCTAGCGGTAAGATGTTGAACATAGAAATCTTAGATTTAAGCAACAATCAAATTCGGTCTATAGATAACGCCAGTTTGGTACACTTTCCAATTCTTAGGAATTTAACTCTGCGGAGGAATTTATTGAAAAAAATCACCAACACGACATTCTTCGGTCTCAGGAATCTGCTTCATTTGGACATTTCAGCAAATCAGATACAGGAGATTGACACTGGTGCGTTTCAATATTTCAACAATCTGATATCTCTAGATATTAGCTGTAATGTTGTCCTGGGATATACTACACGAACACTTCACCCGCTTTTGTTTAGCCCCTTGAACAGTTTAACCGAACTTTTTATACACGGTGTTGCAGGCAGACGAGACTCGGTGTATCCCAATAAGACGCTCATTCAGATGGCACACTTACAGAGCTTAAGCGTCGATGGACTGAACACTGAGTTTGGCCCGGAACTGCTTACACTAAGAAACCTACAACATCTCGAGATTGGAAGCAACCAATTTTGCAAATTACGAAATATTCCTGTAACTTTCTTTGAGAATGTTCCTTTTTTGAAAAGTTTTTATCTCATGGAATGTCACTCCTTGACTTATATAAACCCGGCAGCGTTCTCTAAAGTGAATCTACAAACTCTGACATTCCAGTCTTTGCCTAATTATGATTTATATGATGCTCTTAATGTCTTGATCGGCCTGCAGAACTCGTCATTGACAGTATTAAGATTGGTTCATTTGTACAACAATACATTTGAATGCAAGACTCTGAGAGCAGACCATGCACGATATTTATCAAATCTAACTCTGGAAGTCCTTGATCTCTCTGACAATTGGCTCATCTACATCTCGAGCGATTTCATCGATCTCTTACCGAGGTCAATCAATAAACTAATTCTTAAGGATAACAGATTGGCCTCTTACCATTACTCATTGTCCAATTTCACAGTGTTGTACAATCTGTCAATGCTAGATGTTTCCTATCAAAATATGAAAACCAGAAAACAAATCACCAGCTACGAGTGTCCAAAGGTGAAAGAGAAGCTGGACACGGGGGGCGGGGGGAGCTGTCGAAAAATTGATCGATTTTCCTTAGAAAATAATAAACAAACAAGTCAAAATGGTAATGAACTTTTGGAAGGTATTTATACACCACAAATATCTAACTCGGAAGATAACATTTATGTATCAGATAACATTGATACATCACATGACAGAGATTGTGAAGCTAACCCGCCGATGGGACTTGATAAAACCACAAAACCCCTAGAGTCTCGACCAAGACTGAAAATAATCAAAGCAAGTTATTTCAATGGCTTTGGTGCAAGCATAATCTTACAATATCAGCAACTGAAACTCTGTCTTTCTTATTTGGATATTTACAACTCATTTTTCTCAACTGTCTATATTGGAAAGTTCCCATTACCAAAAAGTATTAAAAAAGCCCTAATGGCCTCGAACTACATAAGACAGATAAATGTAGGATTTTTCCCTAGAAATAACTCACTAGAAAAGCTTGACCTCCATGACAATATTCTGGGACCTTCGTTTGCACTGGACGTCAATGGAACGATATTTGAAAGACTGGAAAAATTACTTTATTTGAATATAAAAATGAATTTGATATCCGAGTTACCAAAATATTTCTTTAATGGTCTTGTCAAACTTCAGTGGTTGAGATTGTCTAACAACAGTTTACAGTTGGTAAACACAAGGTTTTCAAATCAGAATGATCTAAAATATATCGACCTCAGCGACAATGCAATCATTTGGATTGCAAAAGATGTGCGTGATGACTTGGACAGAATCGCCTTCCTGCATCCATTGTATATCGATCTGACCAATAATCCTCTGCCTTGCACGTGCAGCATGCTGGATGTTCTTCACTGGATGGAGGGAACCAAAGCTGTCTTCATCAATAAAGACATTTTGAAATGTCACTTTGATGACGGATCAGTGGAGCACATTGGAAATATGACCTTGAGACTTCAAACTCTGCAGAGATGGTGTGCAACAAAATCCATTATTATTGTAATATGTGTGGCATCCATGGCTGTCATTGGTGCCCTGGTTGGATTCGCGTTGTTGTATCGTTTCCGTTGGAGACTGAGGTATATTCGACATAATCTTATGACAAGATTTGCTGGGTTTAAACCTAAAGCGACATTGGATAATGGGTTTAAATTTGATGCCTACCTACTCTACACAGAAGAGACCCGGAAATTCGTCCTCCGTGACTGTGTGAGAGAACTGGAAGAGAAAAGGGGGCATAACTTGTGCTTTGAAGATCGTAACTTTATGCCAGGGTCGCCTATCGTGTCCGGTATCGTGAGCGCAGTCAACAACAGCCACAAGACAGTTCCCGTGGTCACACCGGAGTTTTACGAAGGGGACTTCTCCGAGTATGGGGTCAAGATGGCCGTCATGGAGGAGATCTTCAAGAAACGTTTAGCCCTTTGAGCGCAGTCAACAACAGCCACAAGACAGTTCCCGTGGTCACACCGGAGTTTTACGAAGGGGACTTCTCCGAGTATGGGGTCAAGATGGCCGTCATGGAGGAGATCTTCAAGAAACGTTTAGCCCTGCATCTTTGTATTTACCAGCCGACGCCCAGTGAGACTATGTCATGTGACTTTCTTGTAGCCATGAAGAGAAATGACTTCACGGAGTTTCCACACGACCAAGAAGCTTCTGAAGAAATTATTCAAAACTTCTGGGATCGAATGTCATTAGTCATTGGCCATACCAGCCAGCACGAAAACAATGACTTGCCCTTAAATCAGCTTTAAAAAAAACTCCATACAACGTTTGTTATAGTTTCATACAACTATGAAAACGTGAAGTCTTGAAATTAATTTGTAATCTAATTGTTTACAGTTTAATGCATACATGAATTTGCGAAGTTATTATTAGAAACCCAGTTGAAGACTTAAAAAATATTCCAACTTTTACGTTCTTCTTGTACAGAAAGTTGAAACTTAAAATGTTTGCTATGAAAAATGTCTTGTTTTATTAGAGAAGAATTCGTTTTTACGGTCTGCCTTTTCTCTCTTTAAAGCTATATTTTGCACGGTGCTTCTTTTTAGTAATAAGATAACACACCACGAGTGTCATTTTGATTGCTGTGTAGACCTCAGTTAACAAGATCAACTACTGAAACTTAGAATTGGCATATAGCTTATGTGCTTAGTTAGCCATGGGTAGACCTCAGCCTATACACTATCATAAACATACCCACAGAAACTTAAAAGTAGCATAAAGTTAATGTGCTGGATCATAACCTCTTGTTTTTTGTCATTCATGCACGGCGAGTGAACATTCCGTGACCAACACGTGACTCTGATGTTCCATTGTGTGCCCTGTATCAAGCAGGTCTGATGCGAGCCACTCAGTTTTGAATTGAAAGAAACGACTTGTAGCAAGCCACCTTAGTTTTGAGATATTTCACATGTCTGTCGGGTTACTTCGTCAGTAAAACGCATTTTCTATCCTTATTGTGAATAATAGATTTTATAATGTGTTTATGATATTATAACACCTGTTCGTTACTGATCATGTTAAATAGTGTTTCATTTTAATTACTTGCTTTTTAACCTCTTTGACTGTTCATCTTAACAACGATACCGCCATAGTTAGACAGATCGTCTCGTGCCATGTCTTTCGTAGACTCGCATGCACGGGCGTTTACAACTAGCAACACCAATTTATCTTGTTCCAGTAACATATGCTGAAATGCGCCCCGTTTCAAATCAACTTAACGCATACAACAGTATCCCAACAGCGACTACACTGCCAAGGGCGGGAGTAAAACGAAGTGCTATATGTCCTCGACTAACATCAACCTGGTTTTCGCGCATGTATAATAACAGTCAAATCATAAAGGAAATTATACTTCAGTGTGGTTTATTCTGGCGTAGACATCACGTGTGCGACCCTAAAATTGTAATAGCCAAGTATCTAGAATTACAGGTTAATTCAAGCATCGAGCACCTCAGGGTCTCCGAGTACCTCGCTGTCATCGTGCTCAAGTACGAGATATTTGCGAACATAAATGTTTATCTTGAGATTGTACTGGACGCCCTCACATCTCACACGGATTTGGGGCGCAAAAAATGTGTGCCTCTCATCTAAGGTAAACCCCACAGCACAGCTTCGCTAAAAATTTATTTTTAACGGATTATTTTATTCATCGTTCGAATACTCATTTTTGGTGCTAGCTGTGGACGTCCGCCATACTGTGAATGATCTGCTTAATCCAGAGTAATATCCCATTGTATAGCCTCATTGTAATACTTTTAATAAACTGTAACATAAAGAGTTGTCCTACGTGTTTATTGAACAATTGCATACTTTGGATAACCTGTCAAACAATCCAGAGTTATCCCAAAGATTTGTTGTTTAAATATTTAAATGTTTCTCACTTGAAATAACCTGTACCATGTATGTATCTTTTCAGATATGGTCCTAATTTTTCTATTTCTGGATACCATACTCTCAGAAAAAATAAAAAAAGCTTTAAGTTCTCAAGAGTTGGTTTCCTTTGCTTGGTAAACTAAATGTTAAACTGTACGCTACCAACCAACCCCCCACTCTGCACACAGCTACATTTATAAATACTTAACCCAAGTGTTTTGTTACCGGTTCAATATTATAAAATAATAGTTTATTCTTAATTTTTTTTTTGAAGTCTCATTCATTATGCGCCAAAATGTTCAAGATTGAAACTCCAGGAACTCGAACGTTTAGAGAGCCTCTAACCCAAAAAGCTTTTGATACCATGGATGCATTTTTGCGCATGCCCTTAAGTTTAGGTCTGCACCATTCTTCACGTGTCATCGGAAAGCATCGTAAGATATGTTGATGAAAATGTGGGTGTCCCTTGGCCTGGTTGTGCATATGCTAATCGCCTGTCGGCCTTTTTGGCTGTAGATAGAAGGAGAGGATCTTTGACCACCAGGTTACCAAACCTGTTTGGGTGGCTCGTGATATCGTAGCTTTGTGTCTGGCTATAGCCGGGAAGTTCGGTGGAATAATGAAAGGCCCGAAAGGGAAAGAGACCCGCAAGGGAATGAGACCCGAAAGGGTAGACTTTAAAAGGAACGACCTCGGTACAGCAGTACATCAGTGGGCTGCCCCCACCCCAATATATAATATATATATATATATACATTTATATTGTGTAAATTTAATTAATACATATATGAATGTTTTTTTGTTTTTTTGTTTCTTTTTTCTTTTTTTGGTACTGATGAAGGCATTAGCCAAAATGTCTACATTTTTGTTTTGTATAATATCATCATTAAAGATTAACCCATATTGTTTTATTTACACACAGTGTTTGTGTCTTATTAATCTACATTAACGCTTTATCGCATTCCAACACTCTTACTATTTTGAGAAAGAAACAACATTTCTCGAAAAAAAAAACCACCCCCCCCCCCCCCCCGACCACCAAAGTCGGAAGACAGTTTCAAACTTTGCACGGGCATTGACCATCTGTGAGCTGCTTACAAACTAGTTGCAGTTGGACCAATACTCAGTCGGTTACGTTTGGCACGTTTTATTCCGTAGGTCTATTCACCCCCTTCGACAGCTTCGCTCCTCTGCCGACACGCGTATTCTGTCCGTTCCCAAGACACACACTAAAACACATGGTGAACGATCTTTCTCTTTCTGCGCCCCCAAACAATGGAATTCTTTGCCACTAGACATACGCAATATACCAACCACACAGGCCTTCAAAACTGCACTCAAAACATATCTTTTTAAATTATACTACCCTGACTGATTCCCCTCCTCTGACCGATAAACGATCTTGCCGGCTGTCGTCCATGGTTTGCCATGTAAAAGTTTTGTGTTGGGGTGGGTGAATATACATAGCTGTTCTTTATTTCATAAATGTATTTTATTTTAATGTCATGATTATGTCTCTTTTGATAACATTTTTATGTACAGCGCGGTGAGCCCAGCCCTAGGCTGGGGTACCGCGCTATATAAGAACTCTTATTATTATTATTATTATAGCTAAATTTATAGCTTCTTTATTCATATAAGTCTGATTCATATGCATAACTAAAGTTATAGTGTCTCTGGTCGTAGACATCTGATTCATGCGAACGGTTTGACCGCGGTCAAGTGGAAGAGGATCGAAAATCACAAACTGAAAATCCTTTGTCAATGAGAGGGCTGAATTTTTATTGAGGAAAGAGCAAATAATAATAATAATAATAATAAGTGGTCTTATATAGTGCGGTACCCCAGCCTAGGGCTGGGCTCACCGCGCTGTACATAAAAATTTTATCAAAAGAGACATAATCATGACATTAAAATAAAATACATTTATGAAATAAAGAACAGCAATGTATATTCACCCACCCCACCACA